AGGAAAAGTTTTAGGAATGTATCCCTTGGTCACCTGAAGTGTGTGTGTAGTATCAGGACTCTTACACAATTGAAGAGCACTTGGGCTGCCATTCACTACATCCCCTCTTGTTATTCTCACTTCTACTCGGTTGTCATTGTCGCTGTAATCTTGAGAAATAACAAATACTGCGATAGCCGGTTTTGAATCTGACTTTCCTGCAACTACGCTGTGTGAAGTGCGATTCACAGAAAACATGTTCATGGCTGTACAGTAAAGTATTGGTCACGGAAGAGCTCCAGCTGTGGTGTTGTGCCCATGGCTTCTTTTTTTTTTAATAAAGAACTTTGTTTGCTGTTCCAAGTTCACTCTGTCTGCAGTCCTTCCCAGCCCCTGACTTTCAGTTTAGCAATCCCCCACACATAACATCCCTCATCATCCAGAAAAGTCACATGGGAAAGTTTGTTCTTGGACAGGAACTTCTTGGTATTTGCTCCTTGTTAATGTAACTTGGCCGATAGCTTTATTGAAATAACTACATTTAACTCGCAACACTGAAGCGCAGTTTTGTAGATCTTCATCTGAGATTGCAGTTTTGGACTAGAACAGCAGCTGAAGTATCACAAAATGTCCTGTAGCTTTCTCAGCATTCACATTTCTCACCGCCTTGTCCTGGCTACTTCCTGTCGACTTGCTGCATTGCTGTAATTTGCATTTGTGAAACGTCTTGAACTCGGCTCAACTCAATCCTTAGCTTCCCCACTTGTGACTGTCTCTCTCCAGACACTGGGCAGGTTTCAGAACACCTTGTTTTCACGAGTTTCGGTCAAAGATGTATGAACCTTATTTTAGACATCACTCTTAAGTTATAATAGCCTCCTTAAGTTGTACTTATAACGTTTTTGTTTGCCACTTGTAACTTTAAGCTTTTTTTTTTTCACACACCTTACAGGTTGCAAATTTAAAAAAATAGCTATTTTTAGGCCATTTAAGCTCTTCTTTTTTCTTCTTTTTTAAGCTCTTCCTTTTTTTGTGCTGTCACTTGAAAAGTTTTTGTGTCGGGATGCAAGAACAGGTGATGGATGAATCTGTAATGGCAGAAACAGTGACGTCCGATCGATTCAAGAAGTGGTGGACCTGTTTAGCAGAGCGTAACGTTTCGTATATGACAAAGAGGAAAAAGAATTTTAAAACCTTGATTTTGTTTCTGAGAAATCTTAGCCAGTCTAATTGCAGAAACGAGGAAGGTTTTGCTTTCCTGAGCCGTTCAGCGTTGTAGAAGACCGTAGCGGGGGTTATGGAAGATGTGTGCTGTCCACGACCGTGGCAGAGATTATCCCACACAGTGCCCGTGTCCAGGAGGCTAGACGAGCCGGCCACGTGTGGACAGAGACTGTTCCCCCCGGCGGCAGAGAGGAGCTCCTCTGGGATCTCCGAGTTCATCATCTGAAGAAAGAGGAGAGTGTTGTCCGGGTGAGAGGACGATCGAAGGATGTGCGGTCTTCAGCAAGTTTCAGGAATCGGCTGACGCTGGAATCGAGTGATCCAAGCTGGGTAAAACGCGGCGTCATAAGCAGCGCTTCTCAACTGGTTAAAAAAGGCCTGATGGACTTCACCACAGCCTCACCGACAAAACTCTACACACGTGTGCTTACTGTTTCCTTTACCCATGGCTCTGTTGACACCAGCACCTCTCCTGCTGATGGACAGTACATTATAGTGTCTGCTGTTCATAACAGTTTTGAGAAGATCAGGTTCATCCCAACGCCTCTAGGGAAGCAGTTATTATTTTACCTATCAGTCCCCAGGTGAAACACGATCTCTTCCCTGCCTAGCAGATACAGCAGTCTTCTTCCCTATTTCTGGACTGGCCCAGCTTCCTCAACTGCGCAGGCTGTGTCAGCGCCCAGGCTGCCGGCCTCTGGGACAATTCAGGGGGCACAAGCAAAGCTCTGGAATAAAACAAACTGTTCAGCTTCAAGTATCCGTGACTGATTTGGTGTCAGCTCAGCAGGGCATATGGTCGACCGGCAGTGTTACAAAGTAACGGCTGCCTGAATTTGCCAGTCTGAGGTTTTTCTGATTAGCTCAGCGCTAATGGTGCTGATAAGCTAAGCAGCTCGAGACCAGGCAGGCTCTGTGTGCTTCCGCGCCAGCTTCTGGAGTTCAGCTTACTTTACAACACCTCCAGATAGCAGGGGCTCGGACTTCGGAACAACAAACTGTCATCTCATTTTAAAACAGAACAAGCTCACCAAGTGCAGATCCCAGACATGAATCAGCCTGGAATACCTTCTATACAGACCTGTTTAGTTTAATGGGCTGGCAGCCGGCCACAGGTCCACATCACTTTCTCATAGTGGCCTTCCTCGCCAAGATCAGTCAGACCCTGAAAGGTGGGGAGGTAAAGGAGCACCAGACGCCGGGCTGGCTGGAACATTTTTATGGCCAGATTAATACAATGCATCATGCTCGTGTTGCTGGTTTTTCAGTGAAGCCGTGCCTAACGTCCAGTGGGTAGGATTCCCAGGC